TTCCACACAAGATAGACGTGGCGAAACTGGAGAAGCGCTTGACTGCGTTCTTACTGGAGTCCGTAATGTTATTGGGTGTCACGTTAATCTGCTAAGTGTTAATGCACTTGAAGAGCAAGGCTGGCAATGTGAGTCACAGTATCCTCAGGACGGACCTCCAAGACGGCTGTTATGGAAGGGGCCGACAGCAATAGTGTTTGTCAAGAGTCGAGGTTACTATCGCACTCGTGGTTTGTGTAATTCACCTCAAGTTGTTGCATCATTTGTGGCTGGAGGTGAATCGATATTTCGGTGGCATCTTCGCTTTGGTCATGTGAATTTTGCAGCATTGCAGCAGCTCCATCGTGATCAGATGGTTACAGGCATGACGATCTCTCCTAGTGAGCGCACTAGAGATGCGATGGATTGCCTAAGCTGTACATTAGCAAAATCGCGAAGAATGTCATACAAGAACGTGTCTCCATGTCGATCAATGAGGTGTTGTGAAAAACTAATGACCGATGTCTGTCACTATGGTGAGGTTTCGGTTGCTGGAAACGTGATGTTTCAGCTCGTGGAGGATGAATACTCACGATACCTATGGGGCTTCTTACTCCGTCAAAAGTCTCAATGTACAGACAACTTGAAGACGTTGGTCTTACAGCTGAAGCAATGTGAGCGACCTGTCAGATTCCTGGGGTCTGATCAAGGAACTGAGTTCGTAAATTAAAAGCTACAACAAGTCCTCCGAGACAATGGAGTTCGTCCGCTGTATACAAATACGTATACACTCGGAGGAAAACAGTCTCGTCGAAAAGATGAATGGTGTAGTACTGCGATCCGTTCGCGCTCTCCTCGTAACCAGTGGACCTCCAACAAAACTATGGGGAGAGGCATTCAAGTTTGTGGTAACAATACGCAACTTCTCACCATCCAAAGCCATTAAAGGCAGTACACCTTACGAGTTATTTGAAGGTCGTATACCCGATGTATCTGGTCTACGTGTGTGGGGCTGTGCTGCAACGTACTTCGTCCCTCAGCAAAGACGGAAAGGTAAACAAGATACGACAGCGAAAGAGGCATTATTTCTAGGATATCCAAAATCCACGACTGGATATCGTGTCCTCGATCTTGTTACCGGACACATTGTGGAGTCTCGTGACGTAACGTTTCGCGATCAGTGGACAGTGGCGGCTGATTATGTGGATCAGTTGCTTGACAAGCTCTACGCGAAGAAGCCCGGTGTGGTGCTACCTGTTTCAATCCCGTATGTAAGACTTCCTCTTCATGACTACTCGAGCTCCTGTAGCAGCGATGAAACTGCACTGGCATTGCATAGCTCCGATGAAGTCGGTCCTTTGGATGCTAAGGTTGGAGGCGATGTAGTGGAAGAGACAAAAGTTAGAAGAGCGGGGGAGCTTGAGTTTGATAATATCAACTCAGGTCTAACAAAACGCAGACGAACAGGGGAGCTGGCCCAGACTTATGATACTCCAAATTGTGACTCCACTTCTACAATTCGTGTCGATGGACATGAGAATGATACGAGATGTACAAAACACGTTGAAAAGAAGCGACAACCGGGTTTGGTTGAAGTTAAGCGACGTCGGAAAACACACACCAAAGACCCAATTGTTACGCTTCGCAGATCAACACGTACACGTCGTCCAAACGTAAGGCTACATGGCTATTCGCTTGCCAATTACTTCATCTCAACTACGGACAAGCTGCCCAAGTCAGTTCGTGCAGCGCTTGCAGGTCCTGATGGTAATAAGTGGTGGCAAGCTTTGCAAACGGAATTCTCTGACATACAAGCGAATCATACGTGGATTTTAGTGAACCGTCCGTCGGACACTAAGATCATGACCAGTCGCTGGGTGTTTGTCATCAAAAGGAATCAAAACGGAGAAATTTTACGCTACAAAGCTCGACTTACTCTCCGGGGTTTCGAGCAAGTGTTTGGCTCAGACTATTGGGAAGTATACTCTCCAGTTGTGAGCATGGAGGCAATCCGTGTTGTCATTGTGCTCGCATTCTACTATGACCTGGAACCTCGCCAAATTGACTTCACTACGGCATTTCTAAACGGTGAGATTGATGTCGACGTGTATATGGAGCAACCAGAGTTGTTCGACGATGGCACTGGACGTGTGTGCTTGTTGAAGAAGAGCTTATATGGCTTAAAGCAGGCTCCTCTGATCTGGAACGCAACTTTGAAGAGATATCTTGTGAAGCTTGGTTTCATATCCAGCATAATTGCAGATGGCGTTTACGTCAAGTGGGTCGACGACTCTCCTATCTTCCTTACAGTCTACGTTGATGATGTCGTTATTGCGGCGAAAAATGAGAGTATCACGTGGCTAATTTCACAGTTGAAGAGTGAATTTAAGCTAAAGGATTTGGGGGAGATCAACCTCTTGCTGGCCATGAATGTAAAAGTGGAGCCGACACGAGTCACGTTGTCACAAGAATCGTACATTCAACACATTGTGGAAAAATATGGCGATCACACTGCTCGTGTGGTCCGTACTCCAATGGACCCAAAAGTAAAACCTGTGAGACCCAGCAAACCCTACGGACCTGACGTAAACAGAAGTGATCTACCATTTCGTCAAATTGTTGGTTCCCTACAGTATTTGGTGCGCTGTACGCGACCCGATATCGCGAACACGGTTCGTGTCTTGAGCAAGTTTCTTGACTGTTATACAGAGGAACATTTTGGACTGGCTCAACGCGCTCTTACGTATTTGAAGGGGACTAGTTCCTATGGATTGGTGCTACCAAACGTTTCTGCAAAGGGCAATCTTTCTATCGTTGGATATGCTGATGCTGACCTCGGCAATGATATGGACACTCGTCGATCTGTTACTGGCCAAGTTGTAACACTTGGTGGATGTGTTGTAGCATACCAAAGTAAGCTACAGCCCAGTGCAGTTAAAGATACATGAAGTGGTGAGCTCACAGCAGCCAGTTGCTGTGCAGATCGAATTCGACGGCTACAAAACTTGTTAGCCGAACTACAAGTTTCTGTCGAGCTTCCAGCTCTTCTCTGGACGGACAATGCTGCAGCTGTTCAGGTCATGACGCATTCCAGTGGACATCCCAAGATCAAGTGTCTAGACCTGATGATATACAAGGTTATTGACTATGTCGATGCTGGCTACATTGTGGTAAAACACATGCCGTCTAAGGTCATGCCTGCTGATGCCTTAACCAAGCCATTGGGTAAGAGCAAGTTTCGCCAACATCGAAAGCAGCGTGGTGTCGAATGCCTGTGTACTCAAGTTGATGGGGATACAGATGAAGAACCAGAACAACAATCCGACCCAGATGACGCTAAAACAAGCTAAGGAAGACTTCGAGTTTCAGGGGAGTATGAGACCTGGACGACACAGTCTCAGAAACCAGAAGTCTTTTTTAGTATTGGTAGTCATTCGCCCGTTAGATACTTGGTTGACATTTTTATTTCTAACGGAGTCCACCAAGGGTGGAGCTCCAGCAATTCCCAATCTGCCAAGTGTGGGGCGAGTAGTGTGTTAACGCTTACTTCTTCCGTCGTGCTCACTGCCCAGACATCGTCACGACCTCTGCAAGTGAACGAGTAGTAGACGTTCGCTGTTAGTATCGGGTTGTTCTTAATATGAACGGTTTGTCTGGTCTCGTTGCGAAGCTCTTGCGTGTAGTCGACGTCTTTTATGGCCAATTTGCGAAGCGCTGTCATGTCCACGAGACCTTGTTTCACTTGCTCCCGAAGCTCGGTAAACTCGAGCACCCGATCCGCAACAACCATCTTCACGGCAGTGTCGATTCTGGACGCCAGCTTCTGGTCAGCAGTGACGACGTCTTGTCTTGTCTCTCCAAGCATTTCCTGAAGTTGCAGCTATATTTTTTCAGTTGCAATTGCTTGAAGCGACTCGCTTCGGCATCGGCGGCGGTACCCTGCTGCTGCACGCGTTGCCCTTCTATAGAGTCCTGCTCCTGCGCGCGTTGCTGTTCTATTGGGGTACCCTGCTGCTGCACGCGCTGCTCTTCTCTAGCGTCCTGCTGCACTCCGTCATCTGATGAGAGCGACGTCGACGACGTCGACCATACACACCAGACAAATCCATTCGTACCTGATGGCGGGGTACTTCCGGTCATCTTGGGTAGCCGGCGGTGTTGCCGCGGACGAAAAATTTCAAATGTAGAAGTACATTATTTTGCCTCAAAACACAAAGCCTAATAGCCTTTGAAACTGTATCATCTCAGTTTTAACAAAAGCAAAATTTTAAACCTCTATTACGACAGTACCGTGACAATTTTATGTAAATCAGGACTTTCTTATTGAGGCAAAATACTGCAACGTTAGTCCAAACACGAAGTTGATTCGCTAGTAGCCCGTCGATTCTGTCAACGCCAACGCTTGAAAAGTTATCAAGAAAACAACTGTCCGTTGCAGACGCCACGGGCGAGTGAAGATGCATCTTCTCCTAAGTACGATCCAGACTGCTGCATTAAAACCGCCGTCTCATTACAGAAAATCACTTTAACTTTATTTATCTGCACAGTTTTTCCACCTCGTCAAGCTGGTGTAGCTCTAGACAACTATGTGTAAGTACCAGACAGTGTGATACTAGGGAAAAAGTAGGAAGGTTCACTCGTCTACGCAGCACAACTCAGCCACTGTCAGATACAACCCAAAATGCACAGAAGATCTCAAGAACAACTGCACCTGCTCGTCCAGCCACGTCATGCCTTCTCGAAGCAGAACGTTCAGGGCTAGCATGCTTCGTTTCTTGTCCCACTGCAACTCTCGTGCCAGAATGCTGACGTTCACCATGCCGCATGTCGTCTGTGCCAGCGCCAAGATCGTCGAGTGATCTTGACTCAGAACAACCGGCACAGTCACAATCTATAGTAGCAACAGAGAGAATATTAGCCTAACTTTCCTGTCTCAAGCAGCTTCTTTATAGCGCCCACCATCGTCCTCTCCTCCATGTCAATCAGCTGGAAGCCCTCTCCGAGCACACTGAGCTTCTTGACTGCCCGCTTGACGTCATCGTCAGACACCGTCTGCATCGCTGCACCTCGTTTCTTTTCCAACAGACGCAGTAGGTCGCTCATGCCAATGAGTCCGCCGTTCTTGGGGCGCGTGATGATACACACTTCGATGATCTGCACCGCCAGCTCGTAGTAAAAGTCGCCCACATCCAACAGCTCAGACCAGAATCCCTTCTTAGAGGCCAGCGGGTCAACACCAATCTTGGCGCACATGGCCTGGAACTTTTGTCGAAAATCGGGGTCCTTCTTGATGTTGTTCTTGTACTTGATAGCGAACGCCTGTAGGTTCGTGCGGAACAGCTCCAGCTGCGACGACACGTGCGACAAATTTGCCTCCACGAGCTGCTCACCCACATCCGAGTATTGTTTCGCCTGCTCCTGTTTCTTGCGCACGGCGCCGATGCCCACGCCACGCCGCCGCATCTTGGTCACGGAAACTTTAATCAAGGTCAGTCTTTTTCTGCCAATAGTGGCGTCGTATCGTTTTGCTGTCGCTGCATTGGCAGATAAGACTTACGAATATTTCGACACCATTGTTTTGGGCAAATGGTGGCCTGTTTCGTGGCTACGATTTGAGCGATAGGATTGGTTTAAATTTGCCACATCAAGCTGTGGCGGCAGTCTCAACCTCCATGTTCTACTTGAAAATTGTAAGATAGATTTCGTTCGTCCCCAGACGTACCCGTAATCGGCCGACCCAGCTGGTTTTCTTCCGAATGCTCCGGTTCATTTCGCGGTTTGCGTCCATCGCCCAAAGAGGAACTACATCACACACAGGCCAAAGCCGCGCGAAACGCCCCAGCTGCCATGTTTGTCTTCGATTGGTTCTACAACGTGCTCGGCTACCTCGGTGCGTATAACCTGCTATCATAAACTTGCGAAGACGACGACGGCTTCGGTGCTTATGGATGGAAAGCTCGATCCTTCTTTGTCGTCCCTATACAAATCCTAGTCAAAATGCCAGATGGGTGCTTTCAAAACGACATTTATAATTAATTTTTTCGTGTACTAAATATTGAGCAGGCCTGTACCACAAGAACGCCAAGATCCTGTTCCTGGGCCTGGACAACGCTGGCAAGACCACCCTTCTACACATGCTCAAGGATGACCGCGTGGCAGTCCACGAGCCGACGCTCCACCCCAACTCGGAGGAGCTGATTATTGGCAAGTTGCGTCTTCGCACCTTCGATCTTGGAGGTCACGAGACCGCTCGTCGACTCTGGCGAGACTATTTTGCAACGGTGGACGGCGTCGTCTTCGTTGTGGATGCACTGGACCGCGAGCGTTTCCCCGAGTCCAAGCGCGAGCTGGATACGCTGCTGGGCTACGACGAGCTGGCCAATGTGCCATTCCTGGTGCTTGGCAACAAGATCGACGTGCCTCGCGCCGCCTCGGAGGATGAGCTGCGCAGTGCTCTGGGTCTGTACGAGACTTACGGCAAGGAGGCTCGTGGCGACAAGGATGCTAGCATCCGCCCTATTGAGCTGTACATGTGCTCAGTGGTGCGCCGGATGGGATACGCTGATGGATTCCGCTGGATGGCGCAGTTCTTGTAGATCACTGATCAGTCTTTTGTCGCCCGTTAGCGTGGTGGCGTATTAGCAGAGGAAGAAAGCAGGAGGAGTTAAGCAGGGAGGAATAACGCCACACAGAACACAGAGGTGGATTTTCGCTCCTGTTTACTTAATCGATTCTCTTCGTTAAGAAGCGTGGATCTAAATGCGATGGACATACAAGAACAAGTGAAGCCATCTTTTCTCTTCCTGATCAGATTCGCGTGGAGACGACCAGCAAAACGTGGACGGTGGACTCCACCGTGAGGTAAGTACATGCCGATGCAGATGTTTCGCTTTGGATTGACAAAAGCATCTCAGAGCAAGCCTGCCAGTACCCAGCGACGATGGTGTGTCGTTTGGGACTTGCTTTAAATTTAGTATTAATAAGTACTGATGATGATATTCAGTCGAGTCAATTCCGTCGGAGATCAAAAATAGTCCTCACTTCAACGACCAAAAAAACTATTTTATACTCTTCACCCAAAATTAGGCGACACCTTCATTTTTTCAAGCCAAAAAATGAGCATTACGAAGGACGCCGATGGGCTCTCACGTCAAGTGACCGCCGTCGGGACACTGGGCGACGTAGGGGCTGCTTACGCCGTGTACGAGAAGAACTGGATCTGCGCCGACTGTAGTCATGAGAACTACGCACGGCGCCAGCGCTGCTTCCGCTGCCGTGCGCCTAAAGTGGAGCGATTCGACGCCTTGGTGGTGGACAGTCAAGGGGACGCACACACGTGGCGGGAGGCGCTGGACCCGGCGTCCAATAAAATCTACTATTACAACACGGAGACTAATGCGACACAATGGGAGCGTCCGGCTGAGATGGGTGCGGCTCCGCACTCCACGGGCTGGTTCGGGCGCGGCAAAGCTGGCGCCTCGGAGGGCGACCGCTACGAGCAGCTTAATGCTAAATTCATGGCCCGCCCAGCCCGAACGCAGCTAGATGCGATGCCCACGGCTAACTCTCAGCTTGAAGGAGCCTATGAGTACAATATCTGGTACGATAAGTACATAGGGGACCATTGGGATGACGCGCGGGGCAAGGACCCGGCCACGACGCGCTGCAACCTCGAGCGTGATGCCGGCAAGACCAAGGCGGATGTCGTGAGCAAGGCCAACAGATACTTTTGCGTGCATTTTGCTCGCGGCATGTGTGCTAGAGGCGCAGAGTGCAGCTACTACCACCGTCTGCCATCTGCTGCGGACGAGACGCGCATCGGCATGATGCACGACTGCTTCGGACGGGAACGCCACGCTACGGATCGAGATGACATGGCCGGGGTGGGTAACTTTACCAGGAACTCGCGAACGCTTTATGTGGGAGGTCTGAAGACTGCCAGCGGCCACGAAGCTGTAAAGGAACAGGAGGAGGCGCTTTGGAAACAATTTGGCGAATGGGGAGAAGTGGAGAATATCAATGTGATCCATCGCAAATCCATCTGCTTTGTTAGATACCGTCATCGCACCAGCGCTGAGTTTGCCAAGGAGGCGATGGCTAACCAGTCGCTGCAGAGTGACGAGGTGCTCAATGTACGTTGGGCATTTGACGATCCCAACCCAGTGGCGAAACAGGCCGGAGAGCGTTCGGATCGAGACGCGATTGTAGCAATGATGAAGGCTAAGGGTGCGGCCACGACGGAGGACGCGGCATTTGATTACCCGGAGCATTACCAAATGCCGGCAACAAAGCGTCAGCGGATCGAAGGCGATACGGTGGCGTCGTATCCGGACACGGACACGCAGTTCACTGGGAAATCCGCCGATGCAACTGAAGAGGAACTGGCGGCGCAGCTAAGCTACGCGAACCCTAGTGGTGAGATTTCGACCGAGCCTGAGGGAGACGCACAGGAAGACAAGTAGAGAGGCAGCGTTCAAAATCGTACGTTTTAACTTGTGCATAGATGGTAGTTGCCTAGTTAAGGGTCGAGGTAGCGATACACTGGCTTCGAAGGTGACGAGATTGCTTGATGTGTTCCGATCCCGTTGTGTTCACCTAGCAACGGATGTACCAGCGTCACGCTTAATCCTTTGTCGCCATCTAGTAATCCACCCTCAAGACCTGGTGTCTGAGCTTCATGGACTGTTGTCTCCTGTGGCCACCAGTCTGCGTCAAAACAACCGGATGCAGCGCTTGCAAACAGCAGCAGCACGAAGAAGAACCACCACGTAGCTCGAAGTCCAGTTGGGTCACTTGAGCAGATCTCATCTCCATTGGCATTAGTCCAGCATTCGGAAGCGACCACTTGAGCTTGACACCACATTGTGCATTGAAAGCTCATAGCTACGTGCTGGGTAGTGGTTAGACAGCGTCGTCGCTGCATCGGTGGCGCTCACTGGAGAATAAAAGTCACGCGACAGCTTTGATTTGGTTGTGACTGTTCGGAAGATATGACAGTTTTCAAATTTCAATAGTTAAATTGGATCCGACTCTGGTCCGCATGCATCCAAGCGCGTGAAGACGGGGAAAAGCAACCGACGCTGGAATATGTTGAAGCTGGTTTATTGAGGACACGATGGCTATTCCAATTATCCTTGTAGGCACAATTTAGAGAAGAACAAACTGTTAATGGCCCTTTAAGATACATCCAATTTCTTCGGGGAGGTTGTGCGGGTCATTTACGGGACGGGTCTAGGATAGGTCAGTGGGGGGGGGGGACCCCAAGGGCAAACGTTGCTAGGCGCGGTGTGAAAAAAAAATCGTGTTGCAGCGCTCGCATACGCTTGCTCGCTTTGAAAGCCGCGCCTGATCGGCGGCTGTGGATGGAAACTCGCGCTCGCATACGCTCACCCTCGACCGAATTCACCAATAAACCTGCAAGAGCTTGGCTGCGTTAGCAACTCAACTCTCTCGTCATGTTAACTATCTCCAAGCATGTACGCCGATATCTCTGGCGCATGGCATCGACCCCAACTGAGTTTGCTTGTCGGGGGGAAACGATCAGAACATGTAGCGGGATGAATAAGGTCGTACCATTTATTATGTTGAGTGTTACAGTAGCTACAGAGGTGACACACAAAATGTTTTACCGGTCTGTCCTTCAGATCAAAAACAGCGAAAACACAATTGAGGTATCGCTCACTTTTCTCGAAGAAGGCGGGTCGAGCTAGAAGACACGTGGAACAACCTGTTCCACCACCGCAAGAAGCGCTGCCAGAGTCCATTATTGTTGTAGATTGTCACAGTCACCCTCTCGCCTGTCGCGGCACCACTCGACACGACTGTAGCGCCAGCTGCAGCACGAGGGCCTTCGCCTGCAGTAATGGCGCCTGTGGTCGTGCCGGCACGCTCTTCTTCACTAGAGGACAGAGTCACCACCTTGAGAAAACCATTGTCATTGTTCTGCCTGGCGTCCTCGGTGAAAAACTTTTCAAGCGCCTTGGCGGTCGCGGTCGAGTCCGTGGTTGTGATCGTCAGTTGATTCTGTTTGGTAGATGCCTCGCAGCGTGCAAACAGCGTGACCAGGAACACGAGGATGATGTGGATCATACGCATCTTCTTTTCAGTGTTGTTAGAGAGCTGCTGTGAATGTCTTGACAGCGCTGCTAGATATGGATAGAAGGAAGCAAACTGATGAATGATCTGATAAGGTGAACCCGCTCAAAGAGACATGGTTTCACAGGTTATCTGAATAATACCGGTATTTTAAATCCGGTCCTCGTCTGATGGATTTTCCAAGCAGCGGAGCGAGTCATTTTGACTGGCAGTCGACGGGCCGACAATAGAGTACGGCGATCGGTTCACCTTTCTTGGATGCGATTCACTAGTATTCTTTTGTCTTGTTTGTCGGATCAGTGATTGGAAGATTGGCAACCACTTTTACTCACAATCGTAGGAACAGGTATGTACGGTTTGGAGGAAATACCATCGGTCAGTAGAAAACTACTGATCTGTCCCCAACGCGGCGCAGAAAAGACGGCAATCAGTAGAAAATGATAAAGTTCGATCCGTACCTAACTCTAATCATAGCTAGATTTCTGCTGCCTTCAGCAAAACCGCTTTTGCCCTAAGCGTACCATGCCTCGAAAGCCGCCTCCGAATTATGGGAGTTCTCCCTTCGTGGTAGATCTTTCTGACATCGCTACAGCTATAATCATGGGTGTTTTGAGGGAGGACGCAAAAGTTGATACCTCAGACCGCTCCGGCCAAACGTATGGAGGAGTATACGTGACGCGAACCAATATTGCAGACACTGAGTTTCCAACACAAATAAGGAAACTAACGACACAAACAATTGCAATCGTTGACTGCTGATTAATAATTAAGGTATTTCTTTCCAATAGATTATCTTACTGATCCTCACTCTCAATAAATATCAGCAGCAAACGGGCTGGGGAGTCAATCTCTGTGAGTAGACAGAACTATACTAACGTACCCTAAGAGTAACCAGTTGGATACGTCGTGTACCCAGCTACTTCAACGTCAACATGTTATTTCGGTGTACTATTTTTTAGCTGCTCAAAACGCCTTTATTTATATGGTTGTTTTTGTGGAGTGCACTTCGGTGGCATTCGCCATTTTGGTCGATGCCTCCGCTCAACCCCCGACAGCGTCAAGCCCGAACGATCCAGCGCCGTCTGGACGGCTCCTTCTGGCAGCTTCATCTAAGCAGAGAAGTTAGCATACCCAACGAAGTCGACCGAGAGCTGGACGCAGAGCGTGCATCGTCCATAGGTGGTGGGTTACGTGACGTTGTCAGTAGAGGAGGAGGTCTTTTTGCAAATGAGCGCCGAGCTCGTAGAGGAGACAATGCTCAGCTCTTCGAGGTAGAAAGAATATTCGCCAAACGGTGGGTCAATAACTTCGTATACTACCTTATTCAATGGGTGGGGTACACAGAGTTGACGTGGGAGCCAAGTACCAACGTGCCAGCGCGCCTAAAGATGGTGTTCGAACACGCGTCAGTCAATTTCGTCTGGGTCTATCAATCTACGCGGGCAAGACGAACCCAGCGTCGCGAGCAGCCAACGCGCCGGAGTCAGAGACTGTTAGACCAAACGAGGCAGGACAAAGAGAAAATGCAAATGCGAACTTAACACCAAACGAGGCAGGGCTATTAGAAAATGCAAATGCGAACTTAACAGCACTCCAGTAGCTGTGAAATCAGTAGTTGTGCAGGCAGCGCCGCGTTGGGGACAGATCAGTAGTTTTCTACTGACCGATGGTATTTCCTCTACGGTTTGCAAGTCTTGGATGTACAGAACAATAATGTATAATACATGTAAACTGTACCGGTACAAGGACACGCTGTGTCAAACAGCACATATCCGGATACAGTATCGGTACGTATGAAATTCGCTGTTCGGACCGACAGATGACATTGTACTACATGTACATGAATGCAGTACAGTACTGCACTCCGTTTTTCAGCGCCCGTGGACTTATGATAAATTTCCGGATGTGATGATCGTGGATCCAAAAGAACCATAATTTGCATGCTAATATCTAATTTTTTTTGCAAATCCTATATGGCCCACCCCGGGGGTGACCCCCGGTGCAGTACTGTAGTACTTAGAGCTGTCGACGTCGCGACCCTTGGCACTGATTCGACGTCGACGACGCCGGACAGACGTCTGATCTTTTGCACTCGATATCGAGTAAATACCGGTACGATAAACACCGTCAGTTTAGGGACTCAACACTGCATTTTCTCAAATAGCACCCATGTATATCCCTGTGTAGCACCCAACGACTCGCTGGCAGTTTTTAATTGGTCATTTTCTACAAATAGTTGCAAGCCTAGATATCGACCGATGAGCGCGCAATTCATCGATGTGTTGGTGCAGCTAGTCGATCGGGTAGACTATGGCCCTCGGACGTACGACCTGCAGAAGATCAAGGCCCGCATACCGTACAGCAAGGACCGATACGTGCTGGGTGATGGATTCCGAGGCACCAGCACTGGTGTTTGTTGGCTCGTGTGATTTGGTGGCAGGGGTACGTGGGTATACACGTATTCCGAGCGACCCCAGCATATCTTTGACATCAACGGAACAACCAACATTCGGGAGTTCGTGGAGGAGGGTGCAAGGGAGGAGCAAGAAGAAGGCCGATTTTGCCCCTCGGACCAGAACAGCGTACACCTGCCAAACTACTACTCGAAGCTCGTGTTTCCGCACAGCGAAGCCTATAGGTATATGTCTGAATACTGACTTTAATCTGGAAACCGTGAGCTCCCCATACACGTCGACCACGGGCGTGTGATTTCGTACCTGCCCCCGTGCGCGAAGACGGCCTTCAAGATTTGGGTGGTCTTTCCTCCGGCTTCTAAGACGACCACATCCTTCAACTACGGGAACAAGGAGGACTCCTTGAATAGGATGCTACGTACATCTGGAAGCTCCGTGCTTATCCAACGACCCGGCGATGTCGTGTGCTTGAATAACCTGGTGTTTCACTCGGTACTTCTCGTCTACCAGAAGGGCACTGCTGAAGAAGACAAATGGGGCGGTGTTTTTGGCGACGTTGTGGTTTGTGAAGTGGACCGCGTTGCGTCGTTTCGATATGCAACCAAGCTAGCATCAGGTAGCAAAAAGGATTCTGTTGGATCGTGGGAGTCTCTGCTAGCAGCGTACTGTACGATGGAGGGACGTGTGTATGACCAGGCAAACTTCGAGCGTGAGAAGAAGCTATTCTACAAAAAGTTGAAGCTACCAGCAAAGTTGGTGAAAGCTCGTGTAGGTGCGAACGCGAAGAAAGAGAAGAAGCGGAAACTGAATGAGAAGCTAGCTGCCGTACGGGCTGCAAGCACCAAAACTGACTGCAGTACACTTTGCTCCTAATCAGAATTCTAATTTCTGATAATACATTTCTTTTCGCATCCTAACTTGCAATTTTGATTTGGGGGACTGTTTCGACGTAC